TTTCCATAACCAGATGGCGCTAGCGCTCCACTTCCCCGGGCAAATTAAAATTGGAGCGAAATGGTAAGCGCACGGTAGCTGTGCTTTCTATATAGCTTTGGGATATGTCCAGCAAAAGGGCAAGACGACGGTTGACGGTATCGCCTTGAATGAGGCCACCGAACAAGTATGTGCATGGTACTAGTGCATTTTCGCGAAGGTCTTTTAACTGTCCGAAAACATCTACAGAACAAGATGAAAAGAAACAGACTCGGCAGATAAAATACTGTAGTATTGTAAATAGTGGGTTGACGGTGTTTTTCGTCGATGCGACGCTTCCATCCTCCTCTAGCACTGACAAAATAAGCTATATCCATACAAGCACAACATATTAATAGTAATAATAACCTCCCCTTTAACGTTCTGCAGTATCCAGTCAAAGTTGGTTACTAATATCTTGATAGACAAATTATCTGCAAAAAACAAGGTAGACGTCAAAAAAGAATACAATGAATAAACTTTAAGCGTACATTACATACGAGTCTTATTTAGCATTTGAAAATGTTTCGTTTAGCGCTCTGCGATGATGACGCGACAACGCTGCAAAAAATGACGCGTAAATTTTAAAAAAAGTGACGGGAAATAGCAAATTATCCGGAGCCATACGTTCCTCCTAGAGGAGCTGAAATAGTAATAGCAACATTAGTCTTCCTGTTCAGTAGCAAATAGATGGTGTTATTCTAATAACACCGACCACATGAACAACTTGTATATTTCTTCAGAAACGCACAGTGTTCTACGGGAAATATGTTACCACAGACTTAAATAGTGCAATCGGCTAATATTGGGCGGACGCATAGAGCGTAGAGATAGTTTTCACATTACTCATATCAATAGTCAACTGTACATTGTCCTTTAGTCTTGTTCATACAAAGTAAAGGCTGACCTATCCTTAGATGTCAGCCAGTCAATGTTATTCATGATAAACTTCTCAAATTTAAAAAAACAACTACAGTGTTTATATGGAAAAGGAGCTCGGTACATCCCAGATTTACTAGTGTTCGATTCATACGCGAGCCAAATCTATCAAGTATATGCAAACAATCAATGATAACGTGCTCTATTTTGAAGTCATAGCCTAGATCAGTTCAACTTGTATAGCCGGTAAAGTAGTACACGCGTAAAGTAGACAGTGATCATTCCTCGTAGAATCGCAGTAGAACGATAAACGAATTGTGGCCATTTTCTTATCAACAGTGGATCTCGCTTCGTCTAGCGTCTCATTGGATTGACGCTGCTGCTTCTGTGGCTGTCAAGTAGTAGCTAGCGAACCTAATTTCTCTCTTCTAAAGCTACTAAAATGGTCGCCTTGCCCTCGACGCAACGTACTAATGCTTAAGATGCCGACGTTTAGAACTGCAATGGAACTCCGAACAAAACTGCCGGATCACGAAGACCACTATGGTCCGGCGCGAAACTTATAGAAAGGTACTGAATGGCATACCATCCGTTGGGGGACTATCTTTGTGGCATTAAATAGCGGTTCCTTTTAGATCTCTACTCTTTCATCCTTGTGGCGAGCCAACGCTGTGCAGCTGCTGGGTCCGTCCGTTAGCGGCACCAATGCTAACGTCAACGGAACGAGCATCGGCTATCACCTACTCACGAGGTGTCTTAGAAACAGCATATAACAACTGATACCAAATGTGGTCTCTTTCTAGCTACACTAATATTGCCTCGAGAAGAAAATAGACACTGCATAACTGTTTACGCTGCCCACGCTAAGAACGGCTTGAATATGGACGAGCTTAGCCCAACACAAAGTTCATTGGTTGAAAAGACTTTAGTTTTCCCCAACAATACACGATTTATGTCGCCGTTGTAGGCAAGCACTTGGTTAAGTTCACTAATAAACAACGTGAATTTCTCTATGTCTACTGCTTTTAAGGGAACAGTAGAGTTTGCCTACATTGAATACGACGCGGTGCGACGTTTCAATGAACCATTTTGATTAATGGACGAAACGGAATTTTGATAAAAAAAAATCATGCGATAATCGATAGTGTTTTATATATAAAAGAAGTGGGAACAGCATGCATAAGCTATGATATCGATGCACGCACGCGCTGGCTGAGCACTCAAATGGAAAACAACAAAGTTGCATCCGGATCAGAAACCATTCAGATGTCTGGTCGGTGCTTTATTCGTTTCGGCCTATGACTTTCACTATGCATTTTGCAATGCGTGATATCAAGAATATAGAGTATCAGCAGTTCAGAAGATGGCAGAAGTTTAGACCGTATAGACAATGGAAATCTAAGTTAAAAGCAGTGTCTCATACATGTAAATGCGAACAAAGGATTTACAAAAAACTAGAACTTGGAAAATAACTCTTTCTTATAATCACTACCTGCTTAGTGATAGGTGAATGATTAATCTGTGAATTATTCTTCGGAACTTAACAGTTTCATATGTACAATGATGTGTGTCGAAAAACCTTGCCCAAGTGTCCTTTTTTCAATAAAATTTACAAAATCGACCAGATTTGCGAGTGCCGCTGAAATTCAAGAAAGTTCTTTCAGCAAACATTTCATTCAAATGCATAAGTTTACGGAGTTTATCCTGAAGAAAGCTGTCGAGAAATAACTGGTTTATTTAGTCTGTGCTTTTGTTATTATCGCAGATGTCGTAATGCCCGACTCGTACGAGTTGATCATATGGACGAAAATAAATCGCGTCATCTATTTGCACCGTCGGTGAGCCTAATGTTTTAAGTATGCGTACCAAGGTTAATAATAGCACGCGCAAAATAGAATGCCGTTTCACAAAGACCATAACCTATCTGACACAGACCTAACCTATCCGAACGTACAGTACCCTTAAAGAATTGTACAAAGCACATGTTAAAACAGCACATGAGTAAAGGCTGAGGGCAGTAAATATCGAAGCACATGTGACAGGGGTTTCGTTCGTCTTTATTGCCCTAGGTACGATGGTACACCATTATTACAACAGGGAAAAACGTGTTTTTTTCGAGGCTACTGCCGCAGCGGTAGATGCGTGCTGGTAGATAACAAGCAACACCATCAGAGCTCATGACCAGATGCGCTATTTCTTCCTTCATCGTGAAGTTGTTCGAGGCACTTTTTAACAGGAGAGGAAGAAGAGTCGTTCTCCACGAGCCGCTTGAAACGAGTAACCACAATAGGGCATCAGAAATAATAGTTTGTAAATGATGTTTTGCCCTATTTGGCACACAAGGAACTTCGTTCATCTACGCGAGGCAATGGCGCTAAAAAAGAAAACCATATGGATGCTTTGCGAAAAGCACTCTAACGAAAATCCTGGTCATATAGGTTACCAACCGTAAAGCTTGACTGAATCTATTTGAGTGGTCTCGTAATGCAATAACTCCGTACAGTTGTAACGGTATATGAAGCGCGTCTTCACCTTTCAATAGAGCGATAACTTCAGTTCATCTGAAAATTATATGACTTCTGCAGATTTTAAAAGGACGCTGAGACATGAGTACTATGGTCACTTTGATATATTTTGTATCTGCGGGGTGTTCCTTTTTAGCCCACTGCTGTACATTCGTGGCTTAAAACACAACGCCTTCACGAGGTTGCAACCCTTTTTGAATTGTTACGATAAATATGACACACATTAACGCTGTACGTAATACACAATACTCAATCTGGAAGCTTAAAATTTAATAAGAACATTAATTTCCTTCTATTTCTACACGAAATTTTCGCTTAATTTTGGAATTATATGGTTATGTATGTACATACGATACAACTTCCCGCTATGGTGCGATGCTAACGTACTTTACGTGCAGTATAAATCTATGGCAGATGTTTGCGTCCGTCCGTCTTTGATTTGTGAAATAATGAATTGGTTTGAACAATGACCGTACGAGCTCCTAACTCACTGACTCTTGCACTTTGACAAGATAACTGAAAAGAGTGGACATTCGTCCAAGCTGCTTTTTCATTGACGAGTTATGTCTGCATTCGCTAAAAACCTCATTTGCCTAATTAGTAAATGGAATTTCTCGAACAATAGATACAATCCCCACCTACCGATATGGGGATAGAAATCTGCTTGCCTACGATCATCGTCTTGTTGAAAGTTGAAAAAAGCTGCGTCTTCAATAATTTGAAGTTTGAAGCGTTTGTCATAGATCCATGGTCAGACCCACACAAAAATCAAAATCAATCTTGTTTTCATTATGGGACGCAGTAAATACCTTGGGCAGATACATTTCTCAATAATCGCGTTAGTGCAAATATATATATATATATATATATATATATATATATATATATATATGTTGCCCAGCATGCAATACATGATATGTTGCTTCCAAAAACTGCTCCTATACAGTATAGCCACTAACAGTAGAGCAGGTTTGGGTTTTTTCAAAGCAAAATCTCATCTTCACAACTTGTTAACTGTCTTCGGTTAAATTAAAGCAATTGTTGGCCTGCGCTTTTTTTGTCACCATGCAAGTCAAAATAAACATGCTTAGATTCGTTTTCCATTAACCGAATGATATGTGAGCAGGCCGTGTCTTTTATATGCAAATGCCTACCCTGTCAACTTTGGTATAAAATCGCCTGCAAAGCCTCCCTGGACCAATGTGTCTAGAGCTTTTAAAACAATAATAAGTGCAAGAATAATTCAAGAACTGGATAAGGGGCAAAATATAAAATGACATTATTTGGTTTGCATCAGGTTGGTTATTTTAATTCACGCCATTAAACATGCCGGCCCAAACAATCAAAGTAAATCGATCGAGCAAATAGTGGAACACTAGAAGAGTTTGAATGAGAATACCCACTCGCCAGTCGAAGACACCTCACTCACATGGGCTGGGAGAATACAGATTCTTGGTGAAATCGGAGCCAAGGTATCAATAAGATACGGTCAAGAAACAAACAGATAATAAAGAGGAATATGCTCTGCGCGTTTAGTCGATGACCAGCATGGACACGGGATTGTTCAACAATCACCGATTTTTTTCTTGAAGTCGGAAGAAGAAATACTGGTGGCCACGCTCTCATCATTCATTACGCCTCACTGATTCCTCTTGCGCGACGTTCGCTTGAAGTTTTTCCGAGGTAATGGCCGGTGGAACAGCAAGTTAGACACCACAATTACGAAGTTTTACTCAGAACATCGACATAAACTTGCACTTTCAAATTACATACACTTTGATTTCCTAGAACGGCCTCTTTTATAGAACATATTGAAAAAGCCAGCCTGATTGTTATCTTATTACCTTTATCTGTATGCATATTGACATAAATAAGAATAAATCGTAATACGATTTTGGAAATAATAATGCCACATCAGCGGTTATACCAAGCGCAGAGCAAATGACGAACTTGTCAAAGGGCAACAAACTTGACTCGGTTCACTTAAAAAAAACATATATTTGCTTGATGAATACGTTATATTTATTTTATATGTACAAAATGCAGTGCCATTGTATGAACGCACACGGTTTATATATACATTCGATGCATCTTCCTTTCACATTTCAGCCACCGTTGTGACTGATGGCAGCCGTTTTTATATATTTTTATACTAACAAACCCATCGTAGTATCACAATCAGAATATGCAGATTCACTCATTAGACTTAAGAATTACCTATTTAAAACCTAATGAAAGTTTATCATGAGTAAGCCAAAATATCATGAACAGCCTGGCAGCATATTAGATACGAAATACAAAAACCCATTTACAGACACTTTATAATAAAAGATAAATAAGCAGTTGTATTTAAACATGTCCTGCCTAATTTTTGGTACTAGATACGAACGAGATCGAAAAACGTCGAGATCTACCACCAATTCGATTTCGATTGCGCAAATAATCTGGCGCGACCGATATTTGCATAAGACGAGATTTCATCAGGTATTGATGTCCCATCTACAACTGTTTGCACTTTCTCAAACCTAGCTCACCGGCGTATGGTATAGGCAATTTGTTAAAACTAACTGATTTCAAATTGGCCATAGAGCGCCCTGGAATGGTGATACAAAGCAGGGTCGATTATTGAACAAAACAATCGTAGGTAGGAAGGTACGATACACCGCAACGGATAGGTTACTCACTTTGCAAAAATCTAGTGATAAAATCAATAGCTACCGCACTCCGTCTAACTCTAAAATTTAAAACACTTTTTTAAAGATCAGTTCTCGTTAAGTTCAAACTGAGTTTTTTCTTGGTGATCGCGCTTTGCTCCTGAAAATGTATTTCTTCCCCATTTCGTCTTAGTCCCCATTTGAAAGCATCATATACCTTGACACTATAGAAGTTACGAACGTTCAAAGGTAACGGCTTGTCCTGTTGGTCTTGAAGCAGTAGACACGTTGACTCGTTTCGTATTTGTACGTCCTGAAGATAACCGAGGATGTTCACTAGGTCCAGAAACGAACTCTGACTTGGAATCCTAATCACTATTAATGAAGCGCGCTTAAACAAGATGAATAAATATGAATACGAACGTTAATCTCTGTTATATGCTATACTTTTCTAACATTTTTATAAGTCACGCACAATACGAATGGGTCAGGGTCAAGCTCCCTTTGCAACACGTAACCAAAGACCTACATCGAACTTTTTCGTACGAGGATAATTAGCGCTTTTGTGGGAACGTAGAAAATATCTCAGGTTAACAATGTGTAACGTATACTATTATGGCTTTTGCTTTTGCGTAGGGCAACTTTTCTAGCTAGAGAGAAAACTGTGAAGGACCCACCTGGGCATTTTCAGGTCTTCCAATGTATTTAATTCTCTTAACTATACAGTCCGTACTGGACGCATGCATAGGGACGAATAAGCTAGTGAATTCCGCGGAGAATGAACATGAATCAAACGGTATCAGTTGCGTAAATTCTGAATCATATGCATCAGCCACGAAATAACAGAATCTGAAATAATAAGGGTTAAATACAGTCAACTTAACAATCATCGCTTCTTAATTAAATTATATTAGAACATCGAGGAATAGGTTCTAAATGATATTCTGGCACTGGACATCCATTGGATAATTACATCTTTTTATTATTGAGATAGAAAACTGTTAAAACTAACGCAACTTAACCTATTCAGCACGTATAGAAGTACCTGAAATAAGTTAGCTGTATACTTTACACGGTGCCTATATCTAATTGTGGCGTATTTTTTTTTGTTTATAAAATAGGTTAGGGACATCATTTTCGTCATTTATTTAAAGAAAATCTTAATTCTCCAAACGACGACTTAACGCAAACGTCAACTAGAGCAGATTTCCTAAGAAGAAAAGTTGAACCAAAAGTCGACAATAATAGTTTACTTCAATTCGCAAATAATCAAATTTATCCATCGCTATATATTTCGATAGCTCTTTAATATAGTGGTACATGATAAACTCAAGTATGATGCATTAGTATGCTCTATCTATAGACCCTCGAAACCCGCATGAATACATACTTGCCTGTAAGATCCTGGTATTTTGAATGTTTAGATCAAGTCTGAGACCGAGTCTCATGTCTACTTATATTTTTCGGCAAGCTAAATTTTCTCACAATGACTAATAAGCAAAATGTTAAACTTATTGGTTCAAATAAGGAACCCATTCTAGGTGAGATAATGGGCTTGAAGCATGTTTCATGTTTGTCTGAAATCTCAATGACTGTATAATGAAATACTCCTAAAAGTACTTTTTACTAATGGCGAATAGTTCCAATACCAGTGGTTATCGGCAAAAGCTGTGAGGAAACGTAGCGCGTCTCAGGTTCGAATCCTCAAGGTGCTGTTTGCCTAGCCTTAACAAGCTAAAAATCAACTGTGATAAATGTAGAAACAATGCAAACATCGACATTAAGGAAGCAGCGACGACGGTGTAGGTATATCTTGTTTTGCCATATACAAATAAGTAGTTCACACTATATAATAGCTTGCTTTATTCACTTAAATTGTGTAGCCATTCCGAACGGTAACGAATAGATGATGCGTTTCTAAAACATACTTCAAAATTTTTCTCACCTAGTATTAAAATTCTCACTTACTATACGCTTGAAATATATATGCTTCAAGCATAGATATATGTTCATTTTATTCTGCATGGAAAGAAACTAAATACACTTTTTTTTACTAACTAAATATACTGGTTTATTTCATTTTATTGCCAGTTCTACAAAAAGTTTATGCACGACTACCAACGATGCGAAATATATAAGATTAGAAACGTTATTTAAGATCATTACACGATTACTTTACTTACTATTTTCGAAATAACTTATTACTAGCTGAGTTCTACAGTACTACTAAATACTGATACACTTACCTTTCGTACCTAAGACAATGAAGTGTGGCACTTAAAGCGATGTTATTGATTATATTAGGTGGGCCTTGTAAAAAGGTTAGATTATAACGATCCTCTGGAACAGGGTATGTATACCAACACGGCGAAGTCATCTAAATATACAAGGTCAATTCAAATAGATTTCCGAAAAAAAAACAAAGATTTTATTTGCGAAGTGTGGGCTGAACCAATCAAGCATGCGATTCTTATCTTTTTCTGTTTGGCAGCCATTTAACTGTTATTAGAAATACATAATTCAGTAAATCGACTAAATTTGACCAATATGGATATTGTGTTCAAATACACCTATGAAGCTCTCATTGTAGCATATGCTAAATTCAAAACATTTTAGCCCATACCTTCTTATGGCAACAGACAAATCTAGTGTCTTTTTTCCGTAAATTATGGAATTTTAAATAGGCAGTGCATTATAGATGACTCCGCTAACATCCCTTGCTGTTTTAGTGCTGTTTTTGGCGTGGCTTCAATGGCTTCCTGTGAAGTCATTATTCTTTCGACGGCCATTCTCTGATCAGATTTTCGTTTCCTAAATAGTCAACAAACAAACACATGCTTAATTTTATTTAACTAGTCTGAGTTGGTCATGGATTATTATTATTCTCAGAACGTTGGCTTTTTCTCATTAATTGCAACTATGGACGTATGTTCTGGATTTAGGTACATGGTCCATAACAGGCAGGTTAATTGCAGATATACCTAAATATGCATTTATTCCATATCATCTTCGTAGAAGTTTCTAGGTAAAATAAGGCCTACAATTAATATACAATTAACTAAGCTAAGAAGTCGGATTGCAAAATACGTGGTAGTATCTAATGACTTAATTTCATTGACACAATGCAAAAAAAGAAACATAAATCCCTAAACATTTACTTCTTTTTAGAAAAACAAATGTTTTTAGAGAGAGAACAATGTTAATAAAATTTTCAATTCACTGTGTGGTATACGAAGTATATCATATTTTCTCATATATCAAAAAACAAAATAAAAAAAATATTATATATATATATATATATATATATATATATAAAGTCAATTTTTGTTATGTATATTTTATGAATAATAGCTGTTGTCAAAAGTGTAATGACAATAATATACGAGAGAAACTTTCTTGTGCACTGATACAACCCGCGGCATGCAAGAGACTTGACCAAAGGCTGATTTTCGATATGCATATATTAAGCTACAGTTAAATAATTTCTGGCACTAGCACATACTGATGAGCATTTTCTAGACGTGCCTTTTTTTCGACACATCGGATTCAGTGTGTTAAACGTATGCAGCGAACGTGTTTTCAAAATCAATTTATACAAAATAACTACGTGTTATTATATGGACCGGTCTCCAGTTTTGTTAGTATTAATCATAAGAACACTAAAGAAATGTTTATACTGAACACACAAAGATTCGAAGTACGACCAAATTGTACAACGTAGTAACTAATAAACAAACTAACCGTTTATCACATTAAACCGTAACGGCTCCATTTTTTATCCCGATTCTCACACAAAACTTGCTGTTTTGAATATGACTTATTTCGATAGTCTCGATTTAAGTACTAACTTTATCCTAACACTTTGAATAAAGGTGATTATGATAACAAAAGTTTTACGAATAGTTAAATGTCCTGTCAACCAAGTTCCACAATATGACAAAAACCACAATTCAATAACGGCGAACTTCTATTTTAGAATACTATGCACATCACTTTGGAATGCGTGGTTACCTTTGTATCCCAAATTGAAAAAAGATTACTTTGGCCTACTGTGTAGAAGATCCATTTATGTACTCTTATCAATCTAATTTTGATCAATTATTTGACCGTTTTACATTCAACTAAATTCAAAATTTCAGCGCGCTTTTATCCAGCTTTTCAAGCCGAACCGCCGCATCGTCTACCTTGTTTTCGTTTTCGTATCAACCGATTCGTTCGAGGAGACCGGTCGCGCCGCCTGGTGGATAAAAGCAGAAACGTGCCCTTTCTGTTTTTGTCGATCAAAACTCATGGCATTGCCTGACCTGGTAAAAAGCTACTTCTATTAAACACGGGCTGTTCAGTAATGCTATCAGTTATAAAAATATGCTCTCCACTGAGCGGAATTCTATATATATGCACCAGATATAATTCATTATCGTTATTATGCAGAAATTACAAAGGAGCTCAGCTTGTAGATATGAATTGCTGTAATCTCACCTCGACCAACATTTATAACAAGTTCAGCAACAATTTTTCGTTGTGTCGCAGGGAAGGAGAGCTTGTTGGCACTCCCCTAGGCAAGGACGGACACACATACCCGCTTATGGCACGCATAAGCAACCGATTTTTTCGCGAATGTAAGGGATTACTATCACGCACAGCCCTTGCAAAATAGAAGCATACCGCTACTAACAATACTCCGTTTGTACAGCTCACTTTTTTCTGCTAAAGCAATGACACTATCAAGCTATTTAGCTACAATCAAACATTTGAACGAAATAGAAAGCCGATGCAACGGAAACTTCAATATTATATTCTTTGCTTATGCACAATTTACGAGCAAATGCAAAAACTAATTGAGACTATTCACGTACATCTTAAGAACAAAGTGTTAATCACACCATGTGAGCGACTAGCTATGTGCGGAGATGTCTATTGCTATCTCGTTTTTCATCTTTCCTTATAGGAGTGTGGTACATTTAAAAAAATAAAAGCAGACCATGTGTAGCTAGAGAGTGTTTATTCGAAAGCATTGAATGGTAGAACTCACTGATCGTATCACTATTTTAATCCACTAGCAGTGATTACTTTGAGCCGCCCACATTGAAACGCCCGCCATTATCGGCTCCGGGGATAACTTTTTGAATTTTGGCGCCACTGGTGTCGTATTCTTTTGTGCCGAATTCTTCAAGACTTCTTTGTCTGTTTGTTCGTGAATCGTACTGCAATCGCCTTGAATTCTGACTACAATTCTTGCCCTTAGTGACGATATACCGATAGGCATAAAATTCCGTAACGAACTTCTTATTTACTTGGGAGGAGGAAGGTTCGACTCCGAGGGTCTCAGCCTGCAGCAGCGGCAGTAGGAGCTGGTTGGCCAGTGGCTTTGACTGGAAGCTGCTAGCCCGAGCCCGTGAATGTCCGTGTGTGTTTCGGAACCGTGAGCAGGGGCTTCTTGAGAGCGCGGCCCGTCCCGAGTTCCCCAGGGGCCTCACCAAGCCCGGTGAGCCGCGTCGCAAACTAGGCTTGCCCCGGGGGTCCGGATCGCTGGCCGCCGCCACAAGCAAGCCTAGGCCTTTCAAGCTACTAGTGTGCACTATTGAGTCCCCCGCGATGTTAGTGAGGTGAGTAGCTACCCAGCTTAGAAGTCCCTGTCCATCTTTTGGTGTCGAGCCCGTCGGGGGACGTCGCCCATAGTTGTGCGGAGTCTGTCGATAATCGAGTTACGTACGTGGCCCGCCAAACGTTGCCGTGAAAGAGGGGCGTGGGCAGAGAGAGGACTGGAAAGGTACTTACTTGAGGCCAGCTGATTCCTACTAGCTGATTCCCCTAAAGTCCTACAACTACGATCAGTTAACTACTGGATGGAGGCTCTCAATGTGTGGGTCTCGGTGAATGTGTGCGGTGTGTATTTGTGTATCTATCTGTGTGCAATGAGCTGATGGGGCTGCTGCTGCTACTGTTGATGGCACTTTATAGGTTGCTACAGCCTTTCATTACCATTAAGCTGGCTGCATTGTGTGAGGCTGGCCGGTTGTGGCTCTGCTTGATGTGTGTGTGCATGTGTGTGTTACGGCTGTGTGAGTGTTTATCGCTGTGTATGTACAATGTCTATCTCTGTGTGGGCCTCCTTTTCCTGTTTGTCGTCGTCGGGTTACGGGTTGGGTTTGAGTTTAAACCGTGGCTATAGGATGCGACCGAACCTTATATTATCTAGCGAATGCCTGTCCGATCCGAATAAAACCAAAACTGAACCTTCCACCCGTCATCGTTTCTGCGAAGTTTGATATTATCGCCATCAATGCTGAGTCGTCCCCCGCACGAAAGCTGGCTAACACCATTTGGCAGCCGATGTCGCGAATACTTCACTCCAAGAATCGGCTTCAACTCCCCCTTCCACCAATGAGGAGGTTGGTTAAATATTGGCAAGACGTATCTATGTATTGATGATGTGCGTGACGTATCGTAGCGTGCTATTTGTAAATGTACGTGTCCGTCAAGGACGGCTAACTAATCGTTTGCCGGTGCAATCTAAAGCTGGCTAATTATCATCGTAACGCTTTTGTATCTTGTAAAGTTTTATGCGAGCATCGTCCGCCTGGTGTTTTCACACTGTTGCACTGCCGTCGCAGGTCCAGGCATAAGGGTGTATTAGGTTGACTAAAGTGACTAGTGTACCTGTCCTATTGAGGAATGTAGGCAAGAAAAAGTAGCCCGTCAACGTTTCCAGTCTTGCGTTACCACTGACTTGCCTAACCTCATCTAGGTATAATACAATCGGGCTAGTTTAACTACAGATGTCTTTATTTCTTCATGTTATATCTGTTTATATCGTACTTTCGTGTGTACGAAGGGTCTAGTTGGCCGGTCGTTCAGCTAAGCTACCAACGAACCGAGCGGCCGACTGACCTGTAAAAATCGAGCGAGCCTAACGCCACCTTACTGCTGCAGCAGATCCGGCGTACGATGTTCGACGCTAACAGCATTGCTGGCCGTGCTGTATTGTGCCAGTTATCGCTGCTCACACGACTGCACCTCCGACACGGACGATTTCTTCGTACACCAAAAGTGACGGCAGCAGCTGCAATTGTTACAAGCAATGTGGGTCGCTTCTTTGTGCTCGACGAAATCGGCGGCCTACGTCGTCGTTTATCATCGTCAATCGCGTGGCCTTAGCTGTGTAGTGTGCGCTAACTGATAGTAGGTGATCATTACTGTTATGGTTGTTGTATTGTGGCAACAGCTATTAGGTCGTAGATGGAGTAAAATCAACTGCAGTCATCTGTGTCTCTTCTAATCTGTATGTGGGCAGTCCGGGTGCGTGCGTGCGTGCGTGCGTGCGTGCGTGCATGTGTGTGTGCATCTCTATGGCGTACTTGTGCAACTTATTATTGGTAATGCATAGATTACGTAACGCCGATACAATTTTCGACAGTAACAGTAGTAGTGGTGGTACACTTCTTCGTTGTTATGTTGTTCCCTACCTCATGTGTCGTTTCTGATGCGAAAATGCTTTTTCCCTGTTTAGTTTTTCTATGAACAAATTTGAACTGTTGCAAGCAAACCACGATTTGCCATGGCCTTCGTGAGTTCAACTATCTTCAGTGTTTCCTCTATAGACTTGACCAATTCAGGCGTTTTTCATTTCTAGATCTCTTGTCGTCTCAGTCTGTCGTGTATAAGTTTTTGCCAAAGTTGACGAATATGTTGCTTCATTAGTTGTAAGTGTACAATTGTATGCATTGACACTCGTGTGTCGTACTTCTGACGCGCCCGTGTGTTTGTGCTACATGCGAATGACCTCGGTGTTGGGGCCCCTCGGTGGGCGACGCCTCGGAACGAGCGATTGGCAGAACGCGACGCAGACGACAACGTCGACTTGACAGACTCCAATAAATTATAATAGTAGTTGCTCCACTACTGCTGCTATCGCAGCGAAGACAGCCAACATCATGTACACCGATTCTGCGAGCTCGTTGGAAAGGGGGGAGGGGGAGAGGAAGGGGCAGGGCAGGGCAGGGGGAATTTTCAAAGAGACGCCTATCCAAACGCGAAACACCAACAACTACAACATCTGCAACGATTGTACAACCCATTTGGGGTTGTTATCATAACGGTATTATTAGCGTTTCTGCTACTTTTTCGTTGATGTAATTGGTGCTCCCGTCAAATGTTCCATTGCATCGTCGCATATTAAGTGGTTAGTTGCACACTAGTCATGCTTCTACAACTTCCAAGTTGTCCATCTAGTTTCAGCCACAGATTTAGTATCTAACTGTCTGTCCTGTCGTATTTGGAGCCTGGCGGTGCTATTAGTAGTTGTAGTATTAATACTAGTCTCAATGATGTGGTTGAGCTAATTGTCTTGATGATCCTTACAGTTATTCATGCTTGTCATCCAGTATAAGAAGCGACAATCTTCTCAGGACGGCAGAAATAGCCACGGCGACTGCATCGATAGTTTCTGCTTCGAGCAGCTGCTGCTTGTGTTGTAAATCGGACTCAGAGAATCAAACAAGAATGGCGGCAAAGCCGCGAACTGGTAGGAAAGGATATTCAGAGGATATACTCCCTGAGGATAATTGCATACAGAGAAGCGCCATTGGTGAGGCCACTCGTTGCGGGGACGTTACCGAAATAGTGTGAAACAAATGATTTGCTTATATATGAACGTCTGAGTCCCTATCAGTGGCAGCTGGGGAAAACCCCAGCAGCAGCGGCAGGGAAACTGGTCTCGGTGGTGGTCTGAAGTTTTGTGTAGGACTAGCACAGAAAGGGGATGGGGGAACGGATGTTAAGCATCAGAAAAAACAGCACTGAGGAAGGAAAGTGGATAGCCTATATCTCGACGTTTGTAGACGGCCTACATGCTCGTTGGGAATTGCATAGGCGTTATGCTCCTTTATTAATTAAAGTTATTACTAAAGCGTTAATATTGTTCATTTTATTGTTAAAAATATTGTTAATATTGAAGCGATTTTCTACACACAGTTTAGCGAGTGGGGCTAATTGAGCACATTAAAATGTACATTTCCCAATACGTGTATTGATAGGTTGTAATCAGAGCCGTTGCCTTGTGTTCATGTCGATTTGTTTTTCTATGTAACCGCCGTTTTCGTTTTACGGTTAGTTAAACCAGTTACCACTTGCGTCGGAATAGAACGGTACGTTTTATTATGGCCGATTTGATTGCGACTTCGAAGTGATCGAATACTAAGATGAAGATTATTTTTGAAACATATTTTTCTCATTCATAACGGCTATACTGAATTTTCTGGTTTTTCAGCAAAGCAATTTTTCGTTTAACACGAGAGATATATTTACCAGCGTTTCTGGAGTTCGTAAGCAAATAACGAATTATAATGGCTGCAACAGGCCATATGATCACGGTCAAACCACTTCAAAGTGACTTATGTATTCAAATTTGATTTTACCTACGTCAAGTTGGTGTTAAAACAACGGTATATCTATCAAAAACGTGAGCGTATAGTTTTGTCTACAATACTATAATTATATAAAGTGGTAATTTATGTATGCTGTGCCTACAATAAGAAGCTCGTAGAATCTAGTAATAGTAGTTATTAACGTCTAGTCTGCAGACAACTGGGCTTATTAGGCTATGTACCTATCTACACTCCGTGCCCACTATAACGCCTTCTTTTGTCTTCAACAGCTACTAATTTAGATGGTGGCTTGTTAGAAGTGGCGCGAGTTTCTCGAAATGAGCTAACCTCGTCCAGGTATATAAAATTCAAGAATGTTTGTAGCGAATTATGCAAGCTAATATTTTGTGTAAATGTGATACTCTAAACGATACGCTTTCCCTACGAGAGAACAGAATTCAGTATAAGTCGCCATTCTTCCGACTACGCGTTACTAATTAAAGAAAAAATGATTATATTGTACGTAGTATAGCTCAGTCAGCGAAGTGGTGATACATTGCTATAGTTTGACCTAAGAATGTTTTGTATACATTGTGTACCAACAGAGTAACTTTCAAATACTACATTTGTTTATATGTATGAGCAGTACTCCGAAATGGAGTAACTTTTAAATTAAATGGGCGAAAATTATAAATTCAATTATTGTTCGAGGTAATCTCCTATATTTTTCGACAGTTGTCTTAACCCTTTAAGCAGCCGTATAGTTAGCATTCGCGTTACTACCTGTAATTTGTATACCTATAGTAAGTCGATAGCGGGATACGCTTGGCCACCAGTCGCCCTCTTTAGGACATAGAAAGTTTTGTCATCGCATGGGTTTAGGTCCGGAGAATAAACGGGTTGAAGCCGATGTTGAATAATCCGTTTCTCAATACAATTAAAAGATGACGACGAGGTCGTCAAGTAACCAGAATGCGTGCTACCAATTGCCCTGCCAACGGTCCATCAGTCTCCTGAGAAACTTAGATGGCGGGCTGCATCCTTTGTTTTTTATTGGGCGAGTATCTTATAGTAGATGATCCTGATGTCTATTGCAAGTACTTTACATCCGAAATTACTTGACACTGCCGCAAAACTTGAACTCTACAGGTTGACAAAATTTGCTCGCCTGGCCACTCCACGGTTGGCGATAGGGACTGAAGCATGCTTCGGTGTGTTTCCTATTCATTAATATGCCGCAAATTGCGTGTGGAACACCACACGCATAACCAACTGGCCTGGAGCCAATTCACCAAGGACCCAGGTTTAACTTAGTTTGCGCATTTTAAGTTTAACTTTACATGTGAGATGACTCATAGAGCCTTTATATACCAGGCTCTGCTTTCGCGAGAAGCTTCCATGTCGATCTCAACGTCTAGTCATTTACTCGCTGGACCTGACACTCCAGTCTCCACTCTTGAAAGGTTCGCACTATTTACGTACTATGCGTTGGCTTCAGGCCTTTCAACTGAATGTCTTCAGCAGTCTACGATGAATTTCGCTAGCACTTAACCTTCAAGGAACGTTTACACATCCGACACGCAGGTTTTTAGAATATGCTTTAAACATTTGTTCTCTAGCTGTTCTAAAAAAGAGAACTACGTGTAATGATTGTTGCATTGCATCTAGAATATAGGCCGCATTTTGTTTCTTGTTACAAATATTCAGGCAAGAAGTGCCTTAATGTTGTCGCTCTGCATCCACTTTTTGATACTATCGTGCCTATATTACGATCCCCTATTTCGTGCCAAAATCCGCCGAAAACATGCTAAGTTTCTATTAGAATCGCCACACCATAGTTTACAGTTAACGACGGGGTGTACGTAGCTGTGTTTGCATTGCTTTTTTGAATACCTTCAATATATTTGTATAATGTTCTGTCTCCTGTGTGAGTATACCGCTTTAAGTTTATGCGCTTTATTCGAGCACGAGCTGATAACCGACAAACTATCATTAATAGTTTTTATATATGTACTGTTGATAGACCAGATGTTTTTGAACGAACAAAAAAAAGCTGATCAATTCTTTTGAAACAAAGCTCATATATAGCTCAAGTCTGATAATGTACGTAAGCGATTTCTACAGCAGCAGGGGGCATGGTTCTAGGGTGCAATTGCACAGCAAACGTGAAATAGTATTTTGCGACATGCACCGACAAAACTGTCCAGTTCCTTTAGATCATTTACATAGTACTTGTGGAGGAAGAAACGTATCTATCCCCGTCTCCATTTACAATTGCGATTCAAAACGGCGCACTGGTAAAACAAATGTTTAGGAGCGAATACATTGCTCTCCCGGCGATCAGAGCAATATAAACAAAATTGTGTGATGAAGAAGTTTTTACCCGGGACAAAAGTTCTGGAGTAGTTTGGTAAAGCTATGGAATTACCTAGGGCTATTTTTACGCATGGTAACACAGAACATTGTTGAAAATTTAAAAGTACTAGTATTTTTCAGGAACTTATATTTAGAATGGAAGTACAACTTCATAATGACGGAGACAGTAGGTTATCAAAAAGAGTACAAAGTCGTTTTTAGTGTTCGCGGCATATTTATACAGACATAAGGAGCTTTTCCTGAGACAGTATCACCTTATTAGTCGTTATTATTAGGATATTCGGATTATTATTAGGATAGTCGTTCACCCATGCTACAACGGTTGGCCTTTTTCCAGCTTTTTGCATCTTCTGAACTTTTACCTAATTGGGGCTTCTATTTTCGGGTTATTTTGCTTATTTCGTTTGAAATGCGAATCTGCTCAACGTACATATAGCGTATTTAAGGAAAGCCTTCGGTATGCGAAAAAAGTTCCATCCTCTTCTCATTAGTTAGTTACAGCTCAAAAACAGCGGTGGCAATTTAGTTCGTATTTGTCTCTCACACACCCTGTTTACACATATAAATGTATGTGAACTTCAGACGGTGTCCTACGTAGGATCTAGCAGTAAGATCTGCGGTGATTGTATTTGATTAGGTTGTATTTCACTCCAGGCATTATTGATTGAGCTCACGTTTTTTGTCCTGAAGCTAAATTACTTCCAAGGAAATCAAGAGACGCAGTGTTCGGACGGGCTAGTCTCGGATCATTTGTATGCTTATTATATAAGCGATTCGATTTTATTCGAGAGATGGCATAAGCCGACACAATAATCGAATATATAAATATTGGTTCGCTAAACAAGCGTGGGCAGTTAAATTTAGTATAATGCTTACTTGTTGCATCCTGAAAGCGCGTTTTCAGGACGCAGCGTAAAGTAAGTACAAAACAGGAGAACTAGAAGAGAACAGTTCAGGTGATTTTGATAGCAACTCTATTTTAATCGTCACTCCCTATTTCAAACATAATGATTGTCGTTATCATCAATGACAGAATTCTTTGATCGGTCCAAAGGTATCAGAATACATTAATGATGGAATAGTTTTACCTCAATGTAACACGACCGCGATGCAAAAAAATATACATGCGAACTCTATAGGTCAACGAAAAATACTTGCAAGAACTACAGACGAAAGCGCTTTGTCTTATCATAAATAGTTTATTGCAAATATTTACTGGCCACTAGGAATTATTTTTCATGGCCGGCTTCTCGAGACATAAATATGAAAGCCGTGAGTTGCATGCGCTTGAGCTCCAGTAGTGTGTCTCAATCTATCCCGATTGTGCACTGTGCTTTTCACTAAATGACCTCAAACTCATTGTTGCTTTTGAGACCCAATGTTTGCGTAATGTGTTACTTGAAACTCGTTTAATTGTCATTTACAAAAAAAATGCAAAAAGTAACGATACGGTTATTATGAATCTAATAGGCATAATATTGTTGCCGGAGTTTGAAATTACTTTTATAATTACAACATTTTTCAATACACTTATTGCAGGAAGTCGCTAAATTTGGAGGGGTAATCTGCAGATCCTGTGTTGCAGGTAATCGCTGCGTCCTTCCAACTAACAAGTAAGAGGGAATGAGAATTCTACTGCAATACTGATTAATAAGACGAATTGTAACGGAATCATTCGTTCACATCATCAGCCTAGATGTACTCGACGTGATGTGCTGAACCGTAAGCAAAAAGAATCAAATTTGGGGTATAAGTGGGGTTTCCATTGTGTTATATTCTCGGTCATCACTTTTCGCAACCTTTTCCATTATTGCTGATGCTACTGTAGAAGTGCGTCGTGGATAATCAGACGGAACGCTACGTGATTTGTCGTTTCCGTTTTGTTGTTGCACCTCGGCGGTGCAACCACTCGTTAATAGCATCGCATTCTGGTTGTCGTCATCGCCGCCACTGTTTCTGCTGTTGATCCCGCTTTTTTGAGAAAGCTGCGAGTCGCACTGGCCGCCCCCGCTGGTGGAGAAGGGGGCGGGGGCTCGGGAGGTGCTGCTGCCCCCGGCGCTGGGCACAGTGGCCCTGGAGGTGGTGCAGCTGCAGGCGCCGGTGGAAACGGTGCCGGAGGCGGCGGCGGTGGCGGAGCCAGGATGGAGTGGGGTGAAGAAGGCGACAGTCTGTCGTTTGAGGACAGCGAACGATTTGATGAAGACTCGCTTTGTTCATGGATGTCGGAACGCGAGTCGATTTGCAACCACTGGCGTGGCTGGAAGAAACCGTCGCCACCTTCGCAGACCACCGCGTCGGCCAAGTATAACTATAGCGGAAATGGTAAAAGTAAGTGGGATAAGTTTGGCTTATAAATATATGTATATAATTGAAAAGTAAGTTGGCAGTAGGTAATATTGCAGAAGAATGTTGCGTTGTCTTTAAAGGTTTATGGTGAGGTTATAAGCGAGATAGGTTACGTTTTCTATGGCATCGACATATGCTAATTATATATCTGTATTGTCATTTTTGGTCGCGTGATTAGATGAATCTTCCTTGAGCGGCGTCGTGACTTCGTTAGTAGAGCTCTCAGCCCGCGAGGTAGCGGCCCATATCCCCTTCGAGGTTGTTGAGCATGTATATCCTCCAGTACCGGAGCAACTCCAACTTCGTATTGCTTTCTGGAGCTTTCCGGAAAGTGAGGAAGATATCAGGCTTTACTCATGCTTAGCAACTGGCTCCGCTGATGAGTTTACGAAAGGCGAGCACCTTTTTAAAACCAAGGCCACCCGTGACCTTCTTCAGATAGGTGAGTGAGCCTTAGTGCCTGAAAACCATTGACATTTCTTATGTGATTTTGCCACAAATAGATATTTTTTTTCGCGAAGTTTTTGTTTTAATTTCCACAAAAGGTTGAGTAATAGTACAAGTGTTGACTTAACATAACGCTAAGATAATTAAAATTATCTACGTTGTAGGGTTCCATTTGAGTGCCACGGTGAAACCTTCGGGCTTGGGCAGTGGCGGTGGCCAAAGTGGGTCGAAAAGTCAGCAGACTCCTGCCGCCAATCCGGCAACGAAGAGTTCACAGTTCAACGTCGCTGTTACGTTCGACCGGCGCCGTATCACCAGCTGTAACTGCACCTGCGTATCAACAGCGTCGTGGTGTTCACACGTTGTAGCTGTGTGCCTGCATCGTATCCATCAACCGACGACAGTGTGCCTTCGAGCTCCCGTTTCCGAGTCGCTCTCACGACTGCACCGCGATCAGCTGCAGAAATTTGCGCAGTATCTCATCTCAGAGTTACCCCAGCAGATATTACCAACGGCACAGCGACTCCTTGACGAATTGCTGTCGAGCCATGAGACAGATATTAACACGCTCCGAGGGGCGCCTGATCCCACAGCCGGTGCGTCTGTGTATGAGCAAACGTCGTGGTGTCTCGATGAAGGCACCCTGCATGAGAGTATTCGTAAGATCCTGGTCAAGCTCTCGATGCCGTCGCCAATTGTGTTTTCCGATGTCAATTTCTTGTCATCGACGTCTCCGCCAGCAGCATCGGAATGGCAAAGTCTCCTGCGGCCACTACGCGGTCGTGAACCGGAGGGCATCTGGAATTTGTTGTCAATCGTTCGCGAGATGTTTCGACGGGCCGATCGCAACGCGGTCCCTCTGCTCGAACTCCTCACGGAGGAAATGCTCGCATGTGAGCCAATTCTCATGTGGTGGTTCAACACGAAAGTGTCGATGCATACTGGATCTACCGGTAGTCAAGGCCATCGTTCTTCGAACAACAACGGGGTTTCGCATTCGACATCGCAGAGCTCACAGCATACATGCGCGTCGTTGTGCGATGAAATCGTTGTGCTCTGGCGTCTGGCAGCGTTAAATCCTGCCTTGTCACCGTTGGAAAAAACGACTTTCTTCGATCAGGTAATGCGCAGCTCAGCGTTTGGCAACCTCAGACATTACGAACTATTTAAGATATACGCACAACGTCGAATCTTTATATAGCATTTCGTTTGTCTAAAAAATCCTAGACGTAACTTTTATTATTGTTGTAGACAACGAGAAATCCAGGTTGAATTTACTTACTCTATTTATTTTATATAACATTCAAAAATGGTTGATGTGTCCGTTGCAGATGTGCCAATGGCACTGTCGTGTCCTCGAGTCAGTCTTCAGATCGAAGAATTCTCAAGGTGGAAATGCAGGCAACAACAATAATAATAACAATAACGGGGGCACGAATAATATGACCCTTAACAAACGGTGGGCAGATATCGATGTGTTTCCGGGCTTCAAGCCGGCTCTTGAGTCGTGCTTGTTAGACTGGCTTGACTATCCTATTCCAAGCATCACGTATAACGAGGGTGGTGCATGTCGTTTCTACTCGCCGTATATGCATCTGCGATTAGCGGATCACTCACAGTCTGGCAGTAAGGGTCGACCTGTTGAAATAGGACGCAAGTCGCCCTACAACGTGCCCACCGTCTCAGGGCCATTCGACACTTGCCTGAGCTCTACGCGCAGCTCTCTTAGCTCCGAAGGCTTTAACGAAAATCTTGGCAACAATAACAACAACAATATCAACGTAAACAACAACAATAATAATAACAACGAACCGAGCGGCAGTCAACATGTTCAGCCTACGCAGGCAGGCGCAGGAAATAACAACAACAATAATAATAACAACGTGTCAGTTGAGGTCGCCGAGGCCAGGGATGAGAGCGGGAACTCAGGCAATCCAGATGTGCCAGGCTTTTCCCGACCAACTGGGACAAATGTCGCTGGCGGTGGAGCTGGAGCCGTCGGAGTGGCTGCCCTTGTTGAGCCGGCCGTCCCCAATCCTGCGGCTGCGAATCCGCCAGATGACGAGTACCAGATGTACTATTATGATGCTGCCCAGGCACGCGCCGCTGCACAACAGAACTACGGAATGCCGGTCGCACAGAAACCGAATCCAATACCTGAGCCGTCCGAGTTGTCTAAGCAAATTAAAAAAATGGAGGACCGTTTAGAAATTCTGTTTGCGCGAGCCGAAGCGCTTCATGCCCATGGCCACACGCAGGAAGCATGTAAGCTCGCCTTCCGTCTGGCCCAGGAACTACTGGCATCTCCGCCTTCTTTTGACATGGATCAACCGACGGCGTCCCTGTCATCGACTACTTCCGGAGGAAAGGCAAACAACGGTGGCAAGCGGGGCCGAGGGAAGTTCAACCCCGCCTGTCACCAGGCATCGCTCTTAGCGTCGGCAACTCTGTCTAAAGCCGCTTTTCTGTGCCAGGTGTTAGGGGAGAACCACACCGATCATCATTATTTGGCGTTCCGCATAGGAATCTTCGGTCTGGAACTGGTACGGCCACCAGCGTCGACGAAGCCGTTGGAAGTGCGTCTTGTCAACCAGGAGCAAGATCTGGTCACTTTGCTCAAGAAGATCCCGCTTGGCCATCCTGAGATGCACGAATTACGGGAAAGGGCGACCGCTTTAAGGGAGCGTCGCCTTGTATCACGCGGAGAGGCTCTCCTGCCCCTCATGCTGGCGTCGTATATTTTCGATGCCCTGGTGCTCTCCAAGGAGCAGCCAGGTTCGTCTGGAAAAAACTCTTCCTCTTATAGTGGGGTTGTGTGCCGTCATCGTCTGGGAGGCGATGAGGAACTCGGCTTTGACGCCGCTGTTGCCGCACTCGGATTAAAGGCCAACGTGTCCGAGGCGGAGCATCCGCTCCTCTGCGAAGGCACACGAAGACAGCGCGGCGAGTTAGCTATTACACTACTGATGCATTATAAGGATGACCAGCACAAGCTGGCCTTGATTATGGACAAGCTTCTGGATAAGGAGGTACACCAAATGTATAAGAACCCTCCTAGCACCCTTACAGCCTCACTTTATGGAGCGGGCGGCGGCAGCAGCAGTGGAAGCGGCACGAAAGAGACAACTGCAGCTACGCCTCAAGCGTCAGCGACATCGGAGGAGCATGCCAGTGCGTCCTGGCGACGAGGACCGGAGGACGAAGGCGCCAACAGCCCACCCTCCGGTTGGGAGGAAGACTATAAGGCGTGGGAAGCGAAATTCCGTTGCACGAACTTCAAGGCAATGTTCCGACGGCATCATTCGTCAAATGGGATGGCATCCATCGATTCATCAGCTCCGGAGACGACTTCGTCAGACAACTCACCTACGTTGATCCGACGAAGGGTAGCAGCCCGTGCGGCTGCCATGGAAAGCAGCGATTCGGGCTCTAGTGGCGAGAGCAGCGATAGCTTCGCCTCCTCGTCTTCGGGGGACCGAAACAAGGGGAATCCGATGTTTCACGCAAGTGGCGCATCTACAGGTGGTGCGGGACCCCAGCCCACGCCGGGACCATCTGGTCTCGCTGGGGCCGGCGCCCTGACCACTGCCCCAAATTCCAACCTTGTCGTGAATGCCACCCAGCAGCAGCAGCAGCAGAGGGACATGAATTTGGCGAGTGCTGCAGCAGCAGCAGCTGCCGCCGCTGCCGCATCAGGGGTGGGTTCACCTGCGGTTGGCCCAAACATATTTGCTGTCGATGAATTTAACCCGACAATGGTGGCCGGGCCCTCAACCATATTCACAATGGACGAGTTTAATCCATCCAATATACAGATGGTACAGACGCAACAACAGCAGCAACAACAACAGCAGCAACAACAGCAACAGCAGCAGCAGCAGCAGCAGCAGCAGCAACAACAACAACAACAACAACAACAACAACAACAGCAGCAGCAGCAGCAGCAGCAGCAGCAGCAACAACAACAGCTTAATCGTAACCAGCCGCTGGTGACACAAATGAAAAATATCACCGTGAATAGCGGGCAGGCTAGCCAGAATGGCGCCCGGGGCGGATTCAAGGGTGGATCGAAAAGAAGTTTCCATCCGAGCATTCCCAATCAACCATCCGAGGCGTCTGCGCATTTTATGTTTGAGCTAGCAAAGACTGTCTTCACGAAAGCGGGTGGTAATAATTCTATGGCCGTCAACTTCACTCAGCCATCGTCGTCACAAAATCACCGAGGTCCACACCGTGCACTTCACATGTGCTCGTTCCAGATCGGGCTGTACGCACTTGGTCTTACCAACGCCGTCTCACCCAACTGGCTATCAAGGACGTATTCATCGCAGGTATCCTGGATCACTGGGCAGGCCATGGAGATCGGCTGTTCGGCAATCCTTTTCTTGATCGAAACCTGGGAAGGTCATCTCACCCCAACCGAAGTGGTTACCCTGGCTGACAAAGCGTCCCGCGGCAGGGACCCTTCAATGCAGCGCGCCTGTGCTGAGTTAGCGCTCTCGTGTCTACCACATGCGCATGCCCTAAACCAGAATGAAATTCAGAGAGCGCTTCTACAATGCAAGGAGCAGTCGGCCGACATGCTGAAACGGGCGTGCCTCACAGTGGAACAAGCTGCTCAGGGTGGCGGCGTGATTCCCGAAGTGCTATTCGATGTTGCCCGTCGCTGGTACGATCTCTATGAGGAGGGCCTTGGCGACCGGCCAGCTTCGCCTCCTCCGCCGCAACGCCAGCAGCATCAACATCAACAGCAGCAGCAGCAGCAACCGCACCAGCATCCGGCCCTGCCACCTGCCCCTCACCCGGCGGCGTCGCACAATCAGCACGGCGCTATGGAGCAGGCGCCACATATGTTCGTCGACCAGCCAGCCATGCAGATGCCACCCTCACTTCCCACGTATCCTCACACAACGTATATGCCACCGCCGCAACATGGCAGCCCATACTCGCCATATTCGATGCCACCCCCGTTCGTTGTACCGGGTGCGATTCATCCGGCATATCTGCCACAGTACCACCCCACCTATCCGCCGCCGCCCCAATCGTTCTATCCGGGCACCCCAACTGGCCCTCAATATCATCCACAGCCGCAGCAAGCGACTCATCCGTCGAGGCCTCACGTGTTACCACCTCATCCGCCTCATGCACCACCCCATCATGGGCCACCGCCGTTGCTGGCGCCCCTCGTGGCCACACCTCCACCAAATTCCCAGGCCCCTCCACCTCAACAGCCGCCACAGAATCAGACGTCGCCTGATGCACTGAAGTATCTTGTGTCTGCGTACCGGGTCGGTTTAATCGCTATGGACTTGCTGGCTAAAAAGTAAGTAACTAGCACGAATATTTTTTGCTCACTAAGTGTAGAGGGAACCGCTTGCAGTTTAACATGTTGCTTCCCTGACATCTCTTTTGCAGGATTCACGATGAGCGAATGCAAGCGAAATACGCGCGTACTCCGTCATACGGGGAAGACGTTAAATGGCTTTTAGGAGTTGCCAAAAAATTAGGCACGTCCTGTCTGCAGGAATTCTGTGTCTGCGTCGTCAACTCTGTGGCCTCACCATTCGTCCTCTACGATATCATAACAGAGATAGCACAGTTCTTAGCTAAAAATCAACCGGGAGGGCCGTCACATCAGGTGATTCGTTCACCCCTGCTCACGCCGCTCATTCAGAAGTGCCAGCAGATGTAAGTACACCAGCTCTACAAGCAAATCATCTAGTACTGAACATTACTAACCTTCTTCGCATACAAAAAATTTGTATTTACCATCTTCCAACCTGTCGAGAGACTTTTGCAGTAGGTATAGCGTAAAAGCTCAAAATGTGACCAGTTTGCCTACTCATATATTTGACGCATGCTATAGAGTAGGCGAATATTAACGGACAATCAAATGTACGTTTACATACAACAGCGTTTAGTTGATACCCAGTTACAAGTTCCAGTAATTTTTGACCGGCACAACTTTTGTGATGTCTAACACTTCGTCGATATTCGTATTTTTCGGACCTGGGTGTTCTCTTTTATAGGTTTATCGCGTGTATTCACGCTAAACTCTATCACATTTCGCCGGCGGAGTACGATGACTTCCTCTCAATAATTCGTTCCGCTCGTCAGGCGTTCCAGCTGAGCCCCGCTGGACTCGTCCAATTCAGCGATCATCTGCAGACGTTGCGCCGATCAAAAAGCTGTAAAAAAGATCTCTGGACAAGAATTGTTTCCGCCCAACAACAAATGAATCAGCAGAGCCTATGAAAGGGTTAGCCACTCAGAATAAATGATGCCATCATACAACTGGCGTCATCCGACATGCCCCGGTCATGTAGTTATCAGCTATGACATTTGCAGCAGGAACTACGGGGGCGTCGCATTGGAATGGAGATCTACAAGTCATCGACTCAACATCCCGTTCCAAAAGTGAGAGATAGGGCATGATTTATTATATCCGAAATAGGTTGAAATGAAAGTGAATCCCATGCTTCGCTGGTCGGCCCTCAGGACGATAATTAGAACAAAAGGCTACAAGACGACAAAAAATCATATTTGAAGCCGAAGCACAGAGGCCAAACAAACTGACGTTTAACAAATCAACAATCGCCAAGCAACCTTCGAGTTTGCTCATGCTACTGATGATCACGATTGTGGAGTCGATGCTCGATGATTAAAGAGGTAGCTGTTGAAAAGCACCGCAGAAATAAGGTGAGAGGTGTTGTCAGATGTAGCGCTCAACACGGTCAATTAATATTATTTCCTATATAATTCATCGTGTTTCCTCGACTGTTCAGATTAGACGAATATCCGCTGCAAAATCTTGTTTCGAAACAGCCGAGGCCGACGCCCTCCCGACGGGAGACTAGTGAAAGCGTCAACTAATCGAAAGTTTCTACTAATTATTATCACTACTACTGAATGTCAAATGTTTCTCATTTGCTGATCTCAATTCATAGACGATACACGTTTACGCAGAGAGAGTGTGTGTGTGCGTGTGTGAGAGAGAGAGAGAGAGAGAGGGGGCGATGAACATAGATACACTCGAACACGCGCAGACACGGCTAGCGATAGCAGCAAATCGTTCAGGTTATCATGATCATCATGAAGAACAACACCAGCAACAACTATCATAATAATCATTACAAGACAATTTGAAGAAAATAGTAAAACATTTTGTAAAAAACGGGTCAATGGCATAAACGAACTTGCCATCTTTGAACCGCTCAGAGTAGAAATAGGCGTTGCTCAGAACTGAAGGTGGAAACGCATTTTATTTATTTGCATGACGATTCAACATGAGAGGAAAGGAAAGTGACAGAGGAAGAAGGGCTAAGGACGATTCATTAGAAAGGAGTGACATGATCAGGGAAAGACAGAATGACGTAGAAGTGATCAGTTTACGAGATGGTTTTGAAGTGGCAATTTACCTTGCCTCCTACAAGTCCCTGCTTGATTTACCTTTTTCGTCTTGTAAGTCCTCGACATGAAGTTGGGCGAGTTCAACGTTTGGCAAGAGTCGGGAGACGGGAATACTATTAGCTAGTTGGTTGATGAAGCGTGTACTCTTACCCTCTCTCGTCGAAGTTGATTTCATCGTGAGCGTGGCTGTTTATGCTGGGTATAACTAGAAGGCAAGGGGCGATAAACGCGAAGTAAAGGAAAAGGGAGGACACTAGAGACCAGCGCTACGCTGTTGAACAGTACGACGTTTTAGACCTCGATTTTCTCTCGCAACTGTGAGAAATGTATTATTTTACTAATGATACAGTGATGATATAGTGGCACCCTTGATCTCTAGTTTAATCAGTAAATCAGTCAGTGTTTGTCTCTATAAATATTTCGTGGTAACCAAATGGATGGAAGACATAAAATTGGAAAAGGCACCAATTTGAGCTTGATGGGAGAGAGAAGGGTTTTAGAAGATGACTATGTAGAGAAAACAGACGTAACTAGGGAAAAAGAAAAAAATACTTGTGGGTTGGGCCGAAATGCGATTTATGATTACAATAATGGCGATAGTATTGATATTGGCGATATATATATATATATATAAATAATTGTGTAAAGCGTCCCTGTACATAGTGATATACATACATATATATTGAATGATGGTGATGACAATACTAATTACTATGCTAATGATATTATATAT